AGAAATGGAAGAAGGAGCTGAGAGCTCCTAGCAGAGACTCAGGACAGACCCAGATTTGTGTCAGGGAGTTAAGCAGGAGTTAAATGCTGCCAAATTCAGGATGCTCCAGGAAAAGAAACCCACCTCGGGTGGAAACCTGAGTGTGCTGAAGGCAACACCACAAAAAGTCCTTTATACTCATTTATACTCATTTATACTCATTTATACTCATCCCACCTGAGCAGAATCCAAGAGGGGAATTTTTCCCATTTTCCCACTGAATTTGGTGCCTCCCATCCCAACCCCACAGGGACACACACACACACACAGCAGAGCAGGAATAAAGAGCTTTTTCCCCAGCTCCTGTTAAAAACATTATTGTTATAAAGTAAATTTCGGCCTGGAGTATCTGACTTCACCAGGAAATGGATTTTCATGGGATCTCCTCCCCAAGGAAAGCACAAAGATCCCTTTTCTCATGGAGATGTCCCACAGCTGCCACTGACTGAGCCTGGTTCTGCCACTTCCAGGGGTGCCAACAGCTGGAACCCCACACTCTGCAAATCCAGGAACCTGCAAATCCAGGGACCTGCAAATCCAGGGATCTAAAAATCCAGGGATCTGCAAATCCAGGAACCTGCAAATCCAGGGACCTGCAAATCCAGGGACCTGCAAATCCAGGGACCTACAAATCCAGGGACCTACAAATCCAGGGACCTGCAAATCCAGGGACCTGCAAATCCAGGGATCTACAAATCCAGGAACCTGCAAACCCAGGGACCTACAAATCCAGGGATCTAAAAATCCAGGGACCTGCAAATCCAGGGACCTACAAATCCAAGGACCTGCAAATCCAGGGATCTAAAAATCCAGGGACCTGCAAATCCAGGGATCTAAAAATCCAGGGACCTGCAAATCCAGGGATCTAAAAATGCAGGGACCTGCAAATCCAGGGGTCTACAAATCCAGGGATTTACAAATCCAGGCTGCCCATTTCTTGGGTTTTCCCAAACCATTCCCTTGGCAATGGTGGCTCCTGCCCAGGGCCACCCTCCCAGCCTGTGTTTGTGTTTTTGGGGAGCATCCTGGGCCACTTTCCAGTATTTTCTGGCTGTGGGAAGTGCACCAGCCCCAGTTCAGAGCACGGAGCAGCTCTGGAATTTTTCCTGCTCTGCCCAAACTGCTCTGAGCAGCCCCTCTGTGGACACACACATTTATAGAGAGCCAGGGAATTCCAGCTTGGAAATTCCTTTCCAGGCCTGGATTTCTCCTGACTCTCAGCTCCATTCCCAGGCTGACAAGCTGACTGCAGCTTCAGTTAGGGAGGAGTCTCCCAGGGTGACAACACGGTGACAAACAGAGTGGAATTCATCACCAACATTAACCCCTGGTGTCTGTCCCGTGGGACACATCCTGAGGTGCTGTCCCAAGGATGTTTTTCCCCAATTGTCCTGTCCTGGCTGCACTAACACACTTTAAATCCGGGCTGTCTTGTACAAGACAGCCCGGATTTAAAGTGTGTTAGTGCAGCCAGGACAGGACAATAAATTTGGCCTTTTTTTCCCCAAATTGCCCGGTGTGTGTTGCTGTCCTTTCCCTCTCTTTGCAGAGCAGTGACCACACCCCTCCCAGGTGCTGCAGGGGGGGAGGGCAGGTGAGTAACCCTGGCCTTTGCAGAGCTGCCACCAAGGCCGAGCCCAGCCGGGCTGGGATGAGTGGCAGGGTGTAAAACCACTACACCCATTCCTTACGAGGGAATCCAACTGGTTTTTCATGAGGTGTCACTGCCAGAACGCCAGACCTCACCTTCCTAATAGCAGGGCATTGCCTATCCCAAGCTGTTCCCTGCTGGAACCAGGTGGTCAGGGACACACCTGGAGCTCAGGAGTGCCAGCACTGACACAAAATGTTGTTGTTGTCAGCAGAGCCAGGGCACGGAGCTGTGGCGGGGACACCGCGGTGCCACCGGGACACCCCGAACCTGCTCTGGAGCAAGCAGGGAGATGCTGAGGGCTTCCAAATGTGTCCCCAGCAGCTCGGAGAGTTCCCTCTTAACCCCGTCGTGACAGGGTTTGGGTTGCTGCACTCTCCCCCCGTGGGTCTGGCAGGGTTGCACAAGCACCAGCGAAACTCCAGGGAGAACTGGGAAGAACAGGCTGGCAGGTGTGGGGAATGTCCTGGTGCTCACTTTGGGGGTACCAGGGATAAAAATCACCCCGAAAATGCTGAGCTGGAGCCCTGCAGGTGGCCGGGATGGCTGTGCCTGGGAATGGCACGCTGCTCCCAAAGCTGGCTGAGCCACACAATGGTTTGGCTTGGGAGGGACCTCAGAGCCCATCTTGTGCCACCCCATGGGCAGGGACACCCTCCACTATTCCAGATTGTTCCCAGCCTGGCCTTGGACACCTCCTGCACACCCCCGGGGTGCCCTCCGTGCCTTTTATGCTCATTTCTGACCTGCTTTTATCCGTTTTTCCTCTTAACTATTTTTAATTACACCCAAGCCACCCTTTTTCCTCTCTGGGCTTCCCCCACATTCCAAGGGCAAGACTGAAAGGAATTCCTTGGAAAATCCTGAGCGAGTTCACCTTGCAGTCTCTGGAGGAGGGGGATGGGGGTTTTGGTCACCTTAACTCCACTTTTAATCCTCTGTGCCTTCCCTCCCTCTCCTTCCTCCAGGATAAGCAACAGCACATCTCTGTCTTCATCTCTCCCACTGCCAAAACCAGTGTCAGGTCAGCAGAATGAGGAGCAGGGAAAAGCAGAGAGAGGGAGATAAGGAGTTTGATGAGAGTGCTCCAGGGAACTCTTTGAAGTCGTGGGGAGCTCCTGTTGAGGGTTCCTGACAAGGACAGGCTGCACCTGATGTGATCCTGGAGGTTTGCAAGGAAAGTTTGATAACAGCAATTTCCCTTCCCAGCCTCTGCTTGCTGACACACACAACAATTCCACACCGGGAGCACAAAAATCCCTGAATGGTTGGGGTGGGAAGGGGCCTTAAAGCCCATCCCCTGTCCCAAATTGCTGGAACAGCCTGGAATAGTGGGAGTGTCCCCGGGGGTGGAATGGGATGAGCTTCAAGGTCCCTCCCAACCCAAACCATCCTGGGATTCCACAATCCTCTGGCTTCTGAGGCACTTCCCATCCTTCTGAAATTCCAAACACCAGAGCTCTCAGGGAGCCAGGAATTGGCACAGGGGGAAACTGCAGCTCCAACCCAAACCCCTCCTTTAAAACCCAACCAGAACTGAAGAGCTTAGAAGGATTAGAGGGCAAAGAACATTTAATGTACAAGTTACAGGAAACAGCTTGGAGACCATTGCTTTGTGTCCATTTCCTTGTGGAAAAGAGTTTTTTTCGTGGTCAGAGCACCAAAAATCCCGGGGCCAGGGCAGGGAGGAGGAGCTCGGTGCTCAGGGCTGGGAAGATCCACTCCTGTGCGAAGGGAGTTGTGCTAAAACCGTGCTGGGGCTGCTCCCCAAAAATCTCTGTCCCCACAAAGGGAATCACGAACATCCTGTTTGTGGATCTGCCCTTTCGGAGACGGGACACGAGGCTGGCAAGTCACCCCCGTGTGACTGATTCGGGATTTTTTTTGGCACAGAAATCAATCCTGCACGGATGAAGGAACACCCCGCTCACGGGTTCCTCCTGCTGCCTCAGGGAGAAGCCAAATGACGCCCTGATCATGGAGGGGAAAGCAGGAGAGCTGCGCTGACTGAAGAGACGGTGGCAGGGCTCCTTTAGGGCCAAGCCAAAGCCCCGAGGGGAGGCAGGCACGGGAAGTGTCGGGGAGCCAGCTCTGGGAAGGGGTGGCTGCTGTCACCAGAGCAACAAAACACGGGACGAGGGCGGAGGGAAGGGAGCAGGAATGCTGGTGTGCCTGCCCGGGATTGAAGAGGGCACAGAGGGTGGGTGTTTATCCACAGCCCAGAGAGAGCTGCTCCCAAAACGAGAAATCACATCCCAGAAACAAACTCCCACACCGGGAACGGCGAGGAGGAGCAGAGAGCCCAGGATAAAAAAATCCTCCTGGGAATCGCTGCCGTTTGGAGCAGGTGGAGCTGCCCGGATGACGGGGACGAGGCCGGGGAGGCTGCGGGCACGGCCCTCAGGCCCTGGCGCGGCGCAGGCTGGGGTAGCTCTGCACAGTCCTGGCTATGGCCTCGTCCAGGCTCACCACCGGCCGGTAGCCCAGGGCTCTCTTGGCCCTCTCACAGCTGTAATAGTGGAAGGTGCCAGCCAGGGCCACCCTCATGGGGGTGAAGGTGGCCTTGATGGTCACCAGGGGCCTGAGCAGGGCCAGCAGCAGGGCCAGCAGCAGGGCCAGGTAATAGGCCAGCCAGTAGGGGATGTGGTACTTGGGAGGGTCGTAGTCCAGGCCGGTCAGGATCCGGGACATGAAGGTCCAGAAGGGAATTGGTTCATCATTGGTGATGTGGAAGGCCTGGGAGAGAGGCAGAGAAGCAGGGGTTAAAATCCTAAAAATGCTGGTGGGGATCTTTTCCTTTTTCCTTTCCTTTCCTTTTTCCTTTCCCTTTCCCTGTTCCTTTCCTTTTTCCTTTCCCTTTTTCTTTCCCTTTCCCTGTTCCTTTCCTTTTTCCTTTCCCTTTTCCTTTCCTTTTTCCTTTTCCTTTCCCTTTTCCTTTCCTTTTTCCTTTTCCTTTCCCTGTTCCTTTCCTTTTTCCTTTCCTTTTTCCTTTTCCTTTCCCTGTTCCTTTCCTTTTTCCTTTCCCTTTTCCTTTTCCTTTCCCTGTTCCTTTCCTTTTTCCTTTCCCTTTCCCTGTTCCTTTCCTTTTTCCTTTCCTTTTCCTTTTTCCTTTCCCTGTTCCTTTCCTTTTTCCTTTCCCTTTTTCTTTCCCTTTCCCTGTTCCTTTCCTTTTTCCTTTCCCTTTCCTTTTTCCTTTCCCTGTTCCTTTCCTTTTTCCTTTCCTTTTTCCTTTTTCCTTTCCCTTTCCCTTTCCCTGTTCCTTTCCTTTTTCCTTTTCCTTTCCCTGTTCCTTTCCCTTTCCCTGTTCCTTTCCTTTCCCCTTTTCCCTTCCCTCTTTCCTCACCTTCCCACCCAGGGGAGAGTTTTTGTTCAGTTTTTCTGCAGCCAGGATGTGTCCATGCACCACATTCTCCACGTAGGTAAAATCCACCAAGTTCTTTCCATCCCTGCACACAGAAAAGGAATTTTAGTCCCAAAAGCAAGCTGGGCTGAAAATCTGCTTGTGGCAAAAGCAAAGATTCCCTCCAGGAGAAATTCAGGCCAAGTTTCCCCTTCTCCCACTCTCTGGTGCTGTAATTTCAGGCCATACTTTCACTATTTCTTATTTTATAGAGGTTTTAATTGCCAGAACCTCAAATACAAGTGGTAATTTTATAAATTAACAGCAAGTGATCTGAGCTGTCTCATATTAATGGCACAGCTCCTGAACAGCTCCAGCTTTCCTCATGGATATTCCTTTGGCATTATGGACACTCACCATGGCAGGGAGTGAGCCCCTAATAGGGGATTTTTAAGCAAAAAAAAAAAAAATCTAGAAAGTGAAAAAGAAAAGAAACAACACAACTGATTTCCTTTTACTCCCTTCCAAAAGTCCTTTGCAGACCCAGCAGGGATTTTGCCCCAGCTCTGCAATGCCTGGGCCTTGCTCACCCAATGATAAATTTCATTTTGCCACTCTGAGCTGCCTGCACGAGGATGGGAACCAGCTGAGGGTCCCTGGGGCCAAATATCCCGTGGGGCCGGATGGCAGTGGTGAGGAAATCGTGGTCTGGGTCATTTGCACTCAGCACCTCCTGTGGGGAAAGAGCAGAAAAAAATGAAGGAGGAAAAGAGAGCTCAGCAAAGCATCCACTGCAGGGGCTGGGGGCTGCTCATCTCCCTCAATTTTAATCCTCTCCTGTCTTTCCTGGTCCTCCCTTTGTTCCCAGCTCTCCTCGATAAGAAAATCGGACAAAATTCAGTTTTTATGGTTGACACTCCACGAATTGACACAGGAAGTTTTGCTTCTCTCACTGAACACCCCAGAAGCCAGAGCAGCTCTCCAGGCTCCTCCACTCCATGAATTCTGGGGCAGGGCAGTTCCAAGTCTCAGGAATTCCACATTTCTGCCCCTCCCAGCCCTCCTGCATCTCCCTGGAGCCCATTTCATCCTCCTGGGATTCCCTGAACAACGTGTTCTCCTCATTTCCAGCAGCTGCAGGAATTTCTGTGATGGAGGCACAGACAGAAATCCTTTCAGTTTCCCCCAAAGCAAAGCCAAAATCACTGGGGCTCCCCCTGATTGCTGCTCTGAAGGCACAGATGTTGCCACAATTCAAATTAATTCAGCTCCTCCTGTGGGGGAAATTCCACACTGTCAGCGTGGAAGGGACAAAATTCTTCTGGCACAAAAAGCAAAGATTTTTTTCCCCCCAGCTGAAATGCAAGCCATGGAAAAAGGATCCAAAAAAAAGAAAAAAAAAAGAAAAAAAAGGCCTGCAGCCTTTGATTGCAAACATTGTTATCCCACACTGCAAGCAGAGATGCTGCAGCAGCAGCAACATGAGAGGAGCAAATACTGGAGATTATCAATTTAATATTAATATTTTCAGTGTGCCCCTTAGCTCAGGCCACATTCCCTCCTCCTCCTCTCCTCCCCCAGTGCCTTTTGCACATTCCCAACTGGAAATCCAGGAAAAGCAGCAGAGGAGACAAAAACCTGCCCTGAGTGCTGTGAACCCCGGGCTGGGGCAGGTGAGAATTTGGATTATCCCGTGGCTGTGACACCTCTGGCACCACCCCTGCAGTGCCACACAGGACTGCACTCACAATCCGTGCCACAGCCTCATTTTATCCTCTTTTTATTCAATGAACACATCCAAAAAGAACATTTTAACCATTGGTAAATACCTTTTCCTGCAGGATCTTGGTCTCTGTGTAGTAATCAATAGGTTTTTGTGCATAGGGGAGATCTTCTGAGCCATTTTTGATGTCTGTGCCCTCAAAAACGACACTGGCACTGCTGGTTAACACCAATTTCTGCAAGAGAAAGGGGAGAAAACAGTTGTTTAAAGCCTAAAATTATTTAAAGAGGCTGAGTAAAGATAATAATGATAATAATAATAATATTTAACCAATAATAATAATAATAATAATATTTAACCAATTGATGCTACAGAAAATAACCTGAGTCTAACAGAAGATGAAGAGAAACTGCAGATAAGAGAACTCCCCCTTTTTAATTAATTTTGTCCCATCATTTAATGGTACCTAAAGGAAATTAAAACCTTCCAACAAACACCCAAGGCAGTCAATCCAGAGGAAATATCTCCAGGAAAATCAGAGGCTGGGAACACTCAACACACAGCCAGAGTTTTAAAGAAAGATTTGCTCATCTTGGCAATAACAGAAAAAAGAAAAAAAAAGAAACCTTGGATGTTTTTGTTTGGTGATTGAAATGAAATGAATATAATAAATCAATCTCAAATTAAAAAAGGAAAACTTGGATGTTTTTGTTTGGTGATTAAAATGAAATGAATGTAATAAATCAATTTCAAATAAATAGAAAAAGGAAACCTTGGATGTTTTTGCTTGGTGATTGAAATGAATATAATAAATCAATTTCATATAAATGAAATAAATACATTTAAATGAAAACTTATGGGCTATCAAAGGAATTTAAGGAGAAAATTCAGTCTCCAATTCCAGGCTGGCCTCTTCAGGCTCTTCCTTTTGTGGGAAATTGAGTTTTTAAACCAAATGACACTGAGATAATGGCACGAGTGAGGTGTTCACTCACATTCTGTGGTGAGGAATTCCGAGGGAATAAATACCAGGAATATTTCCCTGCTGGAAAAGTCTCCTCTGGGGCTGTCCCAGGGGCCACAAGTGCAAAGGAGCCACTTGTGAGGTTCTGCTCTCCCTGATTTTAAAGGACTGATTTTAAAGGATGCTTTCCTGTGGCAAACAGGGATTGAGTTTACACTCAGGAAACCCCCAGAGTCTCTGGTTTTTATGGAATAAATGGAAATTCAGGGTCTCAGAGCCCCCTCTCAAGCAAGGCTGCCACTGATGCCAATGTCACCAAATCCAAACAATCCCTGCAGGATTTTTTTCCAGCTTTACCTGCACTCCAGCTTCTCTGCAGGCTGCAATGACTGCCTTGGTTCCCAAAAAATTCACCTTGTAGAAGAGCTCCCTGCTGGCACTGGAAGGGGCTGGGGAGGCACAGTGGAACACCACGGACACTCCCTGCAGGGCTGGCAGCAGAGCCTGCAGGAAACCACACGGGACAAGGGCATGGAGCAGCAGCCAGGGTGGGGAAAAAACAACAGCAGGGAAATAAAACAGCTTTTTTTTCTTTTTTATTGATTTAATTTTTTTTCCATGGAAACAGCTCCATTTCAAGTCGTGCTCCCCGGAATGGGATTAGCCTGCAGCATCTCCACAGGGTCCTCAGCACACACCACATCCTCTCCTGTCCCCTGACACATCCTGGGAGCCTCCCCAGAGCCGGAGCTGAGCTCTCTGCAGCTCCCAGGATTTACCTGGAGCTGGGGCATGAGGAAGGAGCAGGATTCGAGCTCCCCCCGTGGCACTGGGTGCTGTCCCCAGGTCCCTGCAGGCTCCCACCCATTCCACCCTGCCTGCTGGCAACACGGGCTCGGGAGAGACCCCTGTAATTAAGGCAGGGGCTGTAATTACCCCGTGAATCCCAGCTCACAGCAGTGCAGAGCACCGGGCACAGCCCAGCCCTGCTCCTCTCAGCACGGGGCAGGCACCAGGCAGCAGATCCACACCCGGCAAAAATCAAAAATGCAAGAACAGAGAGCAGGTCTGCTGTTTTCAGAGGGAAAAATGCAAGAACAGACAGGAGATCTGCTTCTTTCAGAGGGAAAAATGCAAGGGACACAAGATCTGCTCCCTTCAGAGACAAAAATGCAAGAACAGACACAAGATCTGCTCCCTCCTAGAGGTAAAAATGCAAGAACAGACAGGAGATCTGCTCTTCTTAGAGGGAAAAATGCAAGGAACAGTTCAGAGGGAAAAATGCAAGGACAGGAGATCTGCTCCCTCCAGAGGCAGAAATGCAAGAACAGACACCACATCTGCTTCCTCCAGAGGTCAAATGCCAGAGCAGTGCCATCCCTGCCCGTGCCACCTGCAGCCAGCCGTGCTCACCTCCTTGTCACACAGGTCTCCCAGGTAGAAGGTCACCTGCGGGCTCTCAAAGCTCTGCTGGATGTCGAAGACGTTGACTCTGTAGCCCTTGGCCAGCAGCTGCTCCACCAGGTGCCTGCCCAGGAATCCTGAGCCCCCGATGACCGTGCAGGTCCTGGCAGCCTGCAGGGACACAGGGACAGGGAGAACCCCCCTGGCACACCCAGCAAACTGAGCCGAGCAGCCCTGGGGCTGGGCTGGGACAGCTGAGCTGTGACAGAGAGTCAGGAGTGCAGAAAAATCGGGATTTTGGAAGGAGTCTGCCCCGTGTTCACAGAGGAATGTTGGGTTTGTCTTTATAAACAAGCTGGTGGATAAAACCAGCACTGAGAGATCAAAGAAAAAATGGGATGGATTCCACTGATTGATAAATGAAAAAAAAAGATATATTTGCCTTTACAAACAAACTGCAGGTTTGCTGAGAAATGAAATTGGATATTGAAAGGTGAAAGAAGCAATGGGGAAAACCATGAATTCTGTAAGAATTAAAAATGCCAAGGGAGGGTTGTACATTCGAGGGGAATCTCAGGGATCAGGGGTTGGGAAGTCTGGGCCTCTCCAGTCCCTCAGCAAGGGGGAAAGAGAGAGGGAAATTGGGATAAAAAGGGAGGGGAGTCCTCCAAAAATCTGAGAGACCCCAGGGGAAAGCCCCACGGCCTCTCCTTTATTCAATAAAGTAAAAAACTCCTCTGTCTCCCTTTTGGACACAAACCTCTGGTGTTTGTGGGTTCATTTTCCTGACACAACCAAGAGGCTCAGGGAGGAGGGAAGAAAGGGAAGGTTGGAGAGCAAAGCAGGATTTGAAGGGAGCCTGCAAGGAAGATGGAGAGAGAGGATTTCCAGAGGGCAGGGATGGGTGGGATATTGGGATATTGGGCAGGAATCGTTCCCTGGGAGGGTGGGGAGGCTCTGGCACACGTTCCCAGATTTGCTGTGGCTGCCCCTGGATCCCTGGCAGTGCCCAAGGCCAGGCTGGAGCAGCGTGGGACAGTGGGAGGTGTCCCTGCCATGGCAGGGGTGAGATTTAAAGTCCCTCCCAAGCCAGACCAGTCTGGGATTCTGGGATGATTCTGGGATTTGCTTCAGCCTCTTAATTCAGACCATTAACAGCATCACCATTATCAGAACCTGTGACCCTCAGAGCCAAGAAAGCAGCCAGGTAAAGGCTCAAAAGGACAGGGCTGTCCTCTGGAGCCATCACTTCTGCCTTTCTTGTCCTTTAAGCTTTGTAAAGCAATGATTGGAGTCTCTGGTGAACAGATTTCTGACTGGACTGAGACCAAAGCACTGCCCAGAACTGCCCTGAGTCTGAGGGAGCTTTCACACAAAGAATGCTCTGTGCTTTTTACTCCTGGTTGTAACAGGAGCCTCAGCTCTGCAGGGATCTCTGGGCCAGCCTGAACCCCCTGGGGCCACACAAGGATTGGTCACGACCCTTTAGGGGCCACATCCTTCAGGAAAAGTTCTGCTGATCCACAGGAGGAACGGGAGCAGTTCCCTGAGTTTCATCAAAGCTGGACCAGTTCTTTGGGATGGGCCACCCTGAGCAGGGGCTGGAGCAGAAATCCTGTGAGGAGCAGCTGGGAAAGGAGCTCAGGGGGAACCTCTGGTTCTGCACAGCCCCTGCCAGGGGCAGGATTTGGGATTTTACCCCAGGGAACGGGGACAGGAGGGACGGTGGGGAAATTTCTCCACTGAAAAAGTGGCCCAGGGAGGTTTGGAGTGCTCATCCCTGGGAATCTCAGACGAGGAGGGGATTTTGGGATGTGGTTTGGAGCAGATGAGGGCATTCAGTCAGACAGGGGACAGAAACATTTTCAGCTCCTCCTCAAAGGCAGTCTCTCCCTTCCACTGACATTTCCCTTTTCCCTGCACCCTTTCCCACCAGGTCCCTTCCAGCCCACACCATTGTGGCATTCCCTGACCCCTGGGCCCCCAAAATGCTCTGGGAAGTGCTGGAAGTGAAGTTTTAGTGCAGCAGAATGCTGCCCTCTGCCTCTGCACCCCAGAGCACTGCAGAGGCTTCCCAGAATCCCTGACTGGTTTGGGCTGGGAGGGATTTTAAAGCTCATTTTATTCCATCCCTAAAATGGGGGTTGGAATAAAATAATAAAATAATAAAATAAAAAAAAATAAAATAATCACACCTTCCACTATCCCAGGTTGCTCCAAGCCCCATCCAGCCTGGCCTTGGACACTTCCAGGGATCCAGGGGCAGCCACAATTATAAATAATTTTATTATAAACTCTCTATCATTTGCTATTGCACAGTTTGCAGCCACAATTATAGATAATTTTATTACAAACTCTCTATCATTTGCTATTGTACAGTACAATATTTAAGGCAAGCCAAGCTACACATCTATATTGATTTTAAGGTTTGAATTCAACCCATCCAAATCATACCTTGGAAAATCACGTTTTCTCCCCAGAATTATCATTAACAGCAGGATCAGCCTCATGCCTTCCCTTAGTGATGTGCAGAATATTTATGAATTTATTTCTGCAACACAAAAGCTCCCAAAGCACCATCTGAGGCCCCAACTCACCGATCTGAGGTGTGTGGCCATGGCTTGGGTGAGGCACTGTCCACCAGAATCCTTGAAAAAAAATAAAGGAGAATATTTTTATTCCCAATAAAACGACATTTTTCTAGTCACAGAAATCCAGGTTTGAAGCCGTGATGCTGAAGAAGGATGAAGAGAGGGAGTTGATTCTCCTTGTTCTTCTATAAATCAGCAAGTGCAGGTGCTGGCCTGGCTCTTTGGTGCTTGAAAAATCTTTGAAATTCCAAGGAAAAAAACCGAGAAGAGGCAGAATTGGTGTCCTGGAACACGGAGCTGGTTTAAAGCAGGGACAAAACTGTTCCTCAGCACCTCATCCCTCTCCAAAACTCCCTTTATAAACTGCTGCACCTCCAGTTCCCCCCAGCCCAGAGCCCCCCATGGCCTTTAGGACCTCACTCCAACCCCCCAGGACCGTCCCCACGATCCCCAGGACCCTTCCACAGCACCCTGGACCCTCTCCACATCATCCAGGACCCTTCCCATGGCTTCCGGGCCCTTCCCCGCGGTTTCCGGGCCCTTCCCGCCGGTTCCAGGACTTCCTCCCCTGCTCCCAGCACCTTCCCCCCAGCCCCCAGGACCCTTCCCCATTCCCCTCCCGGATCCCAGACCTCCTCCCGCAGCCGCACACCGTTCCCCGCGGTTCCCACACCTTTTCTCAGCTGCCAGGACCTCCCCGAACCCCGTTCCCCGCTGTTCCCGGCTGTTCCCCGCGGTTCCCACGCCTTTTCCCAGCTGCCAGGACCTGCCCGTTCCCCGCTCACCGCTGCCCCTAGGGCGCTCTGGCCCCGCCCCCTCGCTGCTCTCCACCAATCAGCGCCGCGCCTCCCGCCAGGCCACGCCCACTCCTCCCGTTCCCGCCTCTTTCCCTGGGGCGAGCATCGCGCCAGCCGCTCCCGCTCGCTGATTGGTCCAGCCCCTCTCAGCTCCGTCCAATCGCGTGGAAGGAAGGCGGAGATTCCTCCACGCCTTCATTCACCTTTGGTCCGCCATCACGCCAGCCAATAGGAGCGCGCGTTGCCATAGCAGCGGCGTGGGGGCGGCAGCCAATGGGAGGGCGCGATATTGAGGCTGGCAGGTGGGAGGCCGGCAGTGAGGGGAATGTGGGGGAATATCGGGGATTGGGATCAGGGGAAGTATGGGGGCTCTGGGGCCGTGGGGAAATATGGGGGATCAGGGCTGTGATTGGGATCAGGGGCACTGAGGGCTCTGCTTCTGTTAAAGCAGGAGAAGAATTTCACGTCTTCCCAGCAGAGCTGGCTGGGGACATGGGGCTGCTCTCAGCAGTGTCACATTCCCGCTCCAGTCTGGGTTCTGAGAAATCCCAGAAAACAAGGGGAGGGGTTGGTGCTGGGAATTTCTTCCTGGGTCATTTTCCCAGAGGGAAAGGCAGAGACGGAAGCAGAGTTCAGAATTCAGTAGAAGCATTTATTTGCTATAATAAATGGTATAAAATCAATTTTATTTCTTTTATTTGGTAGCAGAACTGCGTTCCTTCACTGCTCCGAGGGAGGGGTTGGGGAGCAGCTGAACCTCAGCCCTGTGGGAGCCTGGCCTCAGGGCAGGGACAGGTGAGATTTGGGATGGAATTCCTCCCTGGGAAGGTGGGCAGGGCTGGCACAGGTGCCCAGATTTGCTGTGGCTGCCCCTGCAGCCCTGGCAGTGCCCGAGGCCAGCTTGGAGCAGCCTGGGACAGTGGGAGGTGTCCCTGCCATGGGAGGAGATGGGAACAAGGTGAGCTTTGAGATCCCTCCCACCCCAAACCACTCCATGACCCCAGGGCAGCTCCTGCCAGTGAGGGAACACAATTCCAAGGTTGTCCCTCCCCAGCAGCCACCAGAGGTGTGGGGACAGAGCTGCTGAGTGAGAGGGGAGGGACATTTGGGGACATCATCCCTGCAGCAGGGTGGGATCAGGCAAGCCTGAGCACTTCCTGCACCATCCTCCCCACACCATCGTGGATGTGGTGGATGGGGGCGTTGCACATGAAGGCACTGGTGGTCACCAGCAGGTTCTGGTGGTCCACGTGGACCTCGCTGACCTGGCTGTTGATGTGCCTGCAGCCCAGCTCCTTCATGGCCTCGGCTGTCTTGGCATAAGGCCACCTGCAAGGCAACCAAGAATGAAAACCTGGAGTGAGGAACATCCTACAGACTGCTGGGAAAAGGAAAGAGGGAAAATTCAGGGCACAAAACCTGCTCTGTAGGAGCCAAATCTTGTCCTGCTCCAGGAGTTTTCCAGGATTATACAACAGGAAAACTCTTGGAATGCTGAAGCCTGGGAGTTCTGAACTTTCTGTGCTTTCTGACACTGACCCCAAAAAAACTCTGCTTTGGATTTGAGGCTCCCCAAATTTGAGTGGTAAGAGTTGGAATCACTGGTGTGTAGTTTGAATAGAATATTTGAATAGAAGTGTGTAATATCACACGGTGAAGGGTTTGGAATTTGGAGTTTTAGAATATTAATAGGTATGGGACAAGATAGAAGTTCTGGGTTGTCTTTTTCTTCCTTCTTGTTCCTTCTTCTTGGTTTTAGGTAATATTTTTTAGTTAGATAGAAAAGTACCACGGTGCAGGTCACAAGTGTTTAGTCATTGAATCAAAAGTATAAATAATACAGATGTTAGTTTTTAATTAGATAGTTAGGCCTTGAAAGACCTTGTAACTACCAAGATCTATTTTTTCCATTTTTAGCTTGTTAACTAAAAGTGCAGAAGAACTCACTGTGCTAGAGATAAAAATTAATAAACAACTGAGTCTGAACACAAAAATCCTGTCTCTTGTACTTCAGTCCCCACTCTAACTAAAAACAGAAGAAAAAAAATAGAAAAGATAACCACTAATAGAAAACCTCCTGTTCAAATGAGTTAAAAACCTGAACGAAAGCCAAAACGAGACCAGGGACACTGCCAGGGATGGAGCAGCCACAGCTTCCCTTGGCAACAATTAGATTTAGGTTTGGTGTGGGGGTTTTTTTGCACCAAAATCCTCCAATTTAGTGAAAAAACTCCATCCTAGCAAAAGCCACCAACATTCCTTGCCTGCCCTCGGGAGAATCCACAGTTTTCCTGCAGGACTGAAGATATTTTCACTCCCTTGGATCTCCTTAACTTGGAGCCAGCAAAGCTTTTTCCTACCCTGGCTCTGTGAGGCATCAGGGAGGCAAATGTTTAATTTAGGAGAATAAATTACATTTCAATTTAAAAGGAAATGTCTTATTCAAAGGTGGAAACAAGTCAGAAAAAGGCAAACTGATCTGGTGTTGCACCATTCCTTCTGCTTTGCTGAGAAATGATAAAATCAGCATTCCAGAGTTTCTGCTTTTCTCTGTTAAATCCCCAAAAGCTGAGAAAGGCAGCACAGCTGAGTTCTACCATTTCTCCTAATGAGAAATAAAATTCAGCTCTTTGTGATACTCCCACCCCTGAGCACCACCGGGGGACTCTGGGGGGACTTTGGGGGACTTTGGAGAGATTTTGGGGGGATTTTGGGGGGATTTTGGGGTGTGCCCCCCGGGTCACTCACTGCTCACACTCCTTGTCGTGTCCCACTGTCACCTCGCAGCCCGGGAAGATTTTGGCTGCCAGCACCGGGGAGATGCAGCAGAGCCCGATGGGTTTGTGGGCAGCGTGGAACGCCCTCAGCACCGCCTCCACCTCCCTGGCGACGCTGCAGTCCTTGCCCTGGGTGGCCCAAGTGCTCAGGTTTTTTGCCACCCCGAAGCCACCTGAGGAAAGAGAAGCAGTTTAGGATGGAGATTTTTCTACCCAGGGCACGATATTTTTTTTAATTTTTTTTTTTTTACCAGGTGGATTGGATGCTTGGCAGAATTATCCAGAATAAAAGAATTAAAATTTTCTCTCTTTCCAAGCCTCTGCTCCAGCCTCTCCCTCCCCATCCCACAACTCCCACATCATTCCAGACCTATGGAATATTTCACCAGGCCCCACAAAATCCCACCTGGAATGATGAGGGCATCCAGCCCCTTGACATCCAGCGTGGCCAGGTCCTTGATGTTGCCTCTGGCAATTCTGGCACTTTCCACCAGGACATTTCTCTGCTCTGGTGTTGGCTGCCCCTTCACATGATCCACCACGTGCATCTGGGGGATGTTGGGGGCATAAACCTCAGCCTGGAGGGAGAAAAAAAAAGGGGCTGTTGTCCTTCAGGAATGGTGGGTAAATGTGGGAATGGCACAGTGGGAATGCTGAGAGAGGAAAGGAAAA